CTACAGGCCCCGTTGATGACAATTCCCAGAGCACATACAACTTCGAATGCGACGCCATTTGTGTTTGCTTTAATGGAATGAATGAACTCTAAAACATTAAAGATCCTATTACCCTTGACCAACACTAGTAACGTGAATCATCAATGTAAATTAATAATTTGTTCGCGTGCGTCTATTCATCTGACAATTTGGGGCATAGTATTGATAAACCAGTGGACACTGCATAGATCCAGTTTTATTTTGAACACTTCTTGGATGCGGCCTTTTCGGACGCTGGCTATGAGGACCGCTTTTCATTACTTAACAGTTCTGATGACCGCAGGCAGGTACATAATGTAATCCGCTCATGGCTTATACCACTTCACTATTAGGTTAATTGGCATAACCTCATCTCTGTGAACGGTATCAGAGGACAAAACTTTGCGCGATGACGTCCAGCACTCAATGCCGTCGGTTTTCTAAATTGGTGATATTACTGTTGTTAGACAACGCAAAATTTTATCGCGCATGGTGCCGCAAACTTTTATAGGTCACACTAAATAATTTGCCCTTCAAAGAATGAACGAAAACACAGTTTGTCCTGTGGTACGAGCTATGGGCTTTGGACTCGGAAATCGTAAGTTCAGGTCGTCTGCTGGCGAACTAGTATGAGAGGACAATGTATGATAAAGTTCCTACATTAATATCTACAAAGGAACATGGCTGAGTGTTTTGGACAAGTGTGTTTTGCTCTGTTCTGTAGTTGAGTAGCATTGCAAGCGTCTTCTAATCTGCAGGGTAAGTTTGATCCAGTCTCGGCCTACTCTGACTTAGACAAGGCGTAAAACAAAAACCTCAGCGAACCAATGACATAGCTAAACCGTAAAGCACGATGGTCGAACGGCGCGTATCATTACCGCTAATGACGGGAAACCCGTCTGTTTCCGTGTGGACAGTCACCGTCACTCATCGTCATTACCATCAGTTACCATCGCTGTCACTGTCTTGCAGTTGCATATCAGCTTTTCAGGAGATAATTAGTTGGCAACAAGTAGTACTGTAATGCACATGCAATGCATAGCGGGTTGTATGTCAAGTAAACTGTAAAGTTAAACTTATAGTAAAAGATCGAAATATTTTTAAGAGAGTGGACCAAATTTTGGAGTAGATCTACGCTCCAAAACATAATAAATAATTAATATTTTTTACAGTATCTCTTTTATTCCATTTTACCATAGGTTGAGACAGTTGAAAAATTGAATACCTTGCCAATTTTCCCTTCTCCTTTCAATGTTAGTGATTTGCTCCTGCCTGCGATTGGAAGGACACAGTAGATCGACAGTCAACCTTGAATCTGTTTCGAACTATAGATAAAGTACAAACTTTTTTATTTCTTATGCTTATGACAATCGTTCTGTTGCGTGCAAGTGCAAAGTTGCGAACTTGAAGTACAATAAAAAACTTTAATTAAATGAAACAAGTCACCTCGTGTTATCTTCGCCGGATGCGAACGATTTTCTACCTATTACCTCGCATAATTAGGTCGATATTACGATAGTATTAGCATATAATGGTTGGGCACTCATTCGTTGTTCATTCATAAGTCCCATTCATGGTACGGTCGTGCGCAAACCTATTTTGGTCCTATAATATCACTGTTGGAACAGATGTAGTTAGGTAATTATTAATTCTGAAAATAAATATTCATGAATCATAATAAAACTTTAAGAGTTTAGTATTTTAATGTTATGACGACGACATAGAGCTGTTTAGATAGGTACCTTTGTGATCCAGTGACTATGCTAAAATATGCGAGTTACCGTAACTCCGTTAATATACCCAGGAGCGAAGCGCAATGAACGGGATACCTACACATAAATACACACAAACCGTTATCTCGTATTTTAATAGTTACGAATTCAAATTTCAAATATCGTGCATAATAGTGATTATCGACCAAAATGAGTTTCTGTGGAGCGAGCAATGCAAACCAAACTTCAAATTTATTATATTTATTTTAAAGCTAATTTGCCGACTGTAATTCAGGCGTCGTATTTTATCTTATTTTAATTGGTGTTTTTTTATAAAGCCTCTATTTCCTGGTGATATCAGTTTAAGATCTTGCATTGTATACGCAGTATTATGAAACCGTTGTAACGATGCAAAACAGATAAAATATAATGTGCGATGCGCAAAGATTATATTCAATGCTACTCACCTACCTATCATGGTCAAATCGAGTAGCTGGAGATCTTACTCCAGATGCAGATCTACGTCATTTAAACTAGCTTCAAGTCTATGAAATATCTGTGGTTCCTGGACAGCTAGCAGGAAAAAAGAGCATTAATTATGCTAGCCCACTAGCATCGATGTTCGAACAATACTCAAACACAGTTAGATACTTCCTCGGTGTACATACGTTTAAAAAAAATACTCTTTTTTTGTGTACCTGAATAAGGTAAGCAAGCCTTGAGATCAAGAATGCCTAGTAAAGAATCACAGATACCAGAGAAGTCATCATGACTTCTTTGGTCTGTGTAAAAATAAATAGAGGATACTACAGACACATCAAACTGTGACTGCACTGCAGAGCAAAGATAAGGTCTGACGTTCAAACTTATGGCCACCAGAGATTTGCCACATTACAATTTTAGTTTGAAATTTATCTAAATCAAACGAATAAAACAACAAACTCGCTTTTGCAGAAATACCTAAACTATATTGTACTTTTTGTGTACAAATAGATGTCACATTCCAAAAGATTTGGACTTTAGGTCATAAATATCTTGTATAAACGCCACACAATTTAAAGTAGACACTAAAAAACCCTCTTCAAAAGCTCAAAAGCATTTCAAGTACGTTGCAAAAAATTTACTTACTTATTAAATCAGAATCATGTAAATATCTGAATACGATTTGCTTCTAGAGCTCTCATATCGGAGGCTTTATTAGTAGTAGTCCGATCCCGGTTAATGGTGCCAAGATTTTGTTCAGAATGTTGTAAAGTTAAGTGAATAAAATGAATACAAATACAAAATACAATAGGCGGTTGAAAAGCTCTGACACCAGGGTTATCGGGACGCTCGTCGACTCGGTGTCCCACATGATAGGAGGAGAAGATGAGAGAATATATCCAAAAATACTTACTCTTTCTTATTGTTGACTACAATGACTAGTTTCACCTTCCGAGGCCCCTTGGTCATTTTGCAGTTAGGATCTGTAACTCCTCTCGGGGCCTGGGTCACAACTTTGTACAACGGAATGTTTGTGTCTTCCACCAGCCTGCTGGCTGCACCATGTGTCACCTCATTACCATCACTAATATCACTTATTTTATCACTAAATTTACTTATAACGTCAAAATATCACTTGGGTACATTAATACTGATAACACTTCTCACTTCGCTTAATTATATCACTGTTTGGTTTAATACTGTTAAATACTTTGCTGTAAGGAAGTAAGGTTGTTGAGGTTTTTGAAGATGTAATAGAAGATTATGAGAATTATGATAAAGAGCACTATCAAAGATTTAATCAAATTGTGCTTGTTTTTTACGTAAGTGACACGAAAAGACTAAGCTTGACGACAATGTTTATCGAAATGGCACACGTTGGCGAATCGAAGAGCATCACGTCAAAATTTGTGATGAATGATGATACATGGCATGATAGGCTTGATTATAAAAGTGATGATAGATAACACTATCACAGTCTGTAAAGCTGACGACGCCATTAAATGTTTAAGTAACGTCAAGATGGAATTTTTGGATAAATACACTACTAAAGTAAATTGTCGTCACGAATAAATTGTTACAAGCATTAACATTTTTGTTCGTATGACAAAATCTGGTCTAAAGCAGATTTTTTCTAACTTAAACTAGTTACGTTTAAGGTTTATTAAAACCTGTCCATCATTCAAGAATAGTTAAGGGAATTCCTATAAAATAATCTCCAATCCATAATAATTTAGATAGTGCTCATCAATCAAATTCTCTTATCTTAATCTTCTATAACATCGTCATTTAGTTTGCTTATGTAATAGAACAGGCAAGAAGGACAATATGAAACTATGGGTATTTCGTACCTAATCGAAACGATCAAAACAGTCTCAATCAAAAACTAAGGCGACACAATTAGGTACCAATATGCCAACAAGCACCTACCATTTTAAAGAAGATTTATCACAAAATGCCACTATCAAAATAATTCCGTATAACCGAATCCATTCTTTGATTCGAAATAAGATAAAAGAACAAAAAGATAATTCCTAGAATAACTTGTATTACCAGCAAAGACATAACATAACAGAGCTAAGACCTTGTAAGTGAAGACGTACGTAGTTACATAAATTACGAGCGACCACGAGAAATCTTGCTTACAGCAGTTACATCTGCTGTAGTAAGTGATACAACACACATGAGATTATCAGATCTCGAATTTCGTGTTAGCGTAGGCTTGCAAATAAAAAATCTAAGAATCGAACATGAAGTCGTTTCCAAAAGAGGAGTGAAGAAGATAACAATGAAAAAGATTAACTTATATAGTGTGAAATATTACTAGTGACCGATAGCGAAAACTCAGAACCGGCTAGTGATAAAGAACAACTTTCCCCGAGGAAAATAGGTCGAAAAACGAAAAAAATTTTTGGAACTCTCATACAAACTTGCCGATCAGCTTATTTCAGATACTATGGGAGGTCCAATTTTTTTTTCGTATTTCGACCTGTGTTCCTTGAGGAAAGTTGTTCCTTATCACTAGCCGGTTCTGAGTTTTCGCTATCCGTCACTAGTTAAATTTCACCCTATAGATTAGAAAAGATTTTCGAACATTTCTCGTACCATTTCTCTTTTACGATACAAGCACACAGGTCGGGACGATTTTAGAAAATTCTAAAAAATATTTTGTTCAACTATGATTTTAAAAAAGGAAAAGCTGTGTCGATGACGGTTGTCGATACAACGGGACCATAATATGGAGTTATAAAATTATTGTTACTTTTTTTGGAAACTTGCAAAATTTACCACCGCAGGCAGGATTTGAACCTGCGACCTTCGCCATCTGTACTGCCGACGCCACTACCGACTGAGCTACCGCGGTTCTAATCTAGCCTGCGAATTAAGCAAGTATATCTTGTCCACTAACGCGTGGATGGGCTCCATCTACCGGGATAATTTTTGCAACTAATTCCCAGCGACTAATTCATTCTTTGCAGATTGAATGAAGTCAAATCGATAAAAACCCGCGATAAATTGACTGTTTTACTTCCCAATAACTTAAAAAAGTATTCATTTTTTTTTAATCAATCACTCATATCATGAGCCAAATTACTTGCCCTAATAAAACAAAATAATTTACCTACTTTTTAACGTCTTATCTTTTGAACATAATCATTTGCAATCAATCAAAAGAAACACGTTTTTAAATAATGAAATGATTACACCAACCAACCTACAAAATAATCTTGAATACATCAAATTGATATGAGTAAGACTGTTTGTACTACTTGTACTGGCGCCGTGACGTCAAATCATGTCGGTTCCTAAGAGCCTAAAGAATCTTTTAAAGGTAGGTAAATCAAATATTATGGTATTTTCTACACTCGAGTAAATGACTGTCGATAATGTTCGGAACGTATCTTCGAAGCGAACGGAAAATGCAAGCATATTTCATTATTATTAAACAATAAAAAGCAAAAATAAAATTTTGAAATCATGGCAACACAGACACCCTAATACAAATGTAAGGAAGAATTGCCTACATTGTATTTTATTTGTTCTGAAAAGAATCTTATTATATTGCATCGCAGCTTCTCTAAAAATTGGGTTTTTTTTAAACAATTTATTGAATCAGAATTTCAGGGTTTTTATCTTTGTAAATATGTACTACTCATGCACTGAAAATAACTTTTTTCAATGCGTCAAGATGATGTCAAAATAAACACAGAAGAATGCAAATCCGTACTTGAACTTGACAGTAATGTGGAACTAACAGGCTGTGAAGCGAGAAGCGAGGAACCAATTGAAAATACTACATTATTTGGTATTGTGGCAATGAGATGAGTCAACGAAATAACAAACGTATTCCTGATCATTAATTTGGAGGAAGATGTCTGTTGCCTAGTTAGACGCGGAATAGATTTTGTTCACAATGAATATGCTCTTGAATCAGGTGGAGCCTGTGTCTTCGACGATGTACCTACCTAACTGGTGGAGTAACCTCCAAGAAAGTAGTTTATAATTATGTTTACAAACGGATGAGACATGGTAAACTCTGGATCAGGACTTCGAAGATAGGAATAGGGTAAGAAAGAACATCGCATTTTGCGGCGTCTAAAACTTATAACTAGGTACTATACCTAGAGTTTTCAACGCACTGTCTTAGAATTAAATCTACAATCTAATCACGACATTTAAAATATGAATTGACCTAGTTCGAATCTAAACTCGGATAATGAAGGCTTCTTTTACACTTTTGCGAATATTCAGTCCCTACAGGCAGAGTAGCGCCAGTGAAAACTGCGCGAGTATAAATAAATAAACAAATCTCCTGAACACTTACACAGCGCCCTCTAGCCCAAAAATAAACAATGCTTGTAATATAGGAACCATATAGATACTAATACTTATTTATACACTTCTTTTTTGTAAATAAATTTATATTATGCACATAAAACACCCAGATACGACTCGAGGCTAAACACAAGTAACTGAACTTGTGTGACACAGTGCCAAATTTCTTTCCATACGTGTACAGCGCAAGAGACTTCGCGGATTTTGGGTGAATTTGCTTCACTGTCTGACAAATATAAAAAACGGCCCCAGCTATGTGGATGACACTCTAGCTAACAACTAAGTAATAAGGGAAATAACAATGAACGTGATACCGACACGTGAGTTCACTCGATTGTGTATTACGAGAAAGTTATACAGTCAATTACTACAGCACGTGTGCTTCAATCAAGAGCACTAAAATAGTAAACAAAGCGAAACATGTGAGAAAATGTCACACTATGCAAAATTACTGCTTTTATTTAATTTATATATACTTCGTGACGCGGAATTCATTAAAACTTTAAGTCAAACAGCTCATTCATTAATGGGAATTTAACTCTGTTTTATAGAATGCTCTGTACATCTCTTCCGTCGTATCTTATAAGTATGACTTACATGGATGGTTTAATGGTCAATGCGTTAGTTAAATTACTTATACAATAAAATCACACAGAAGGATACGCACATGTAAAGAAAGTGCTTGAAAAGTAATACAGTTAAGAATTACCTAAGCGTTATAATCAAGAGTTAGATATAATACTTTCAGTGAAGTGGCTTACTTATACGGAGTAAACATCGGTATGACGAAACTGTAGCAAATGTAGTAAATAACATTCCTTTACACCTCATTTTGCAAATATTGAAAACAGGGAAAAACATAGAATGAGGCGCACGCGAAGTAATAGTGCATTCGCTAGGATACACAAAATTATTATTAATATTTTATAAGATATAAGTAGGTACAGGAACAGGATCTGGAATGCGCTCTATTGGTGTAGCACAATTATGGTGAAGCGATGGTCATAAATCTAATATAGAGTCATGCAAAGAAAATGTTCAAACTTTTTTCTGCACATATTAAATTAGGTAGAGTCTAATAATAATTACTTCTGACGTAGAATTCCACAGATCATAAAAAATACACCACAAAACAAATGAAATTAATAATGTTTTGTATGCATTTTGGGGTAGCGTTGAATCGTGTGTTAAAGCTTTCGACTCTAAGCCCTAACAATTTAACCTCGCGTCTACTAGCAAGTCGGTTGAAAACAGACCTAATTAGTAATAAGTATGAATAATCTTTAGTAAATGGTCTTTAAAATTAAGAAAGAAATTGATTGTTCACAATTAAATTAGTTACATCTGTGGTCTACTAGGTCAGTAAGAGTAACTGCTTGTGTGTTTGTATGTCATGTAACAAGTATCTTCTTATCATATCACGTATATCAACTGTGACTGTTTGTACATTCTGATATCATTTCTTATTTGCACTGGTTGTAACGCTTCGCTAATTACCTGAGATTTTTTTGATAAAGTTACAATTTATATCAATAAAATATACGATAATTCACATTCTCGAAGCAAATTGCAATGATTACCTCGTTCGTCATCATTGTGGTTCAGTATGAGTAAGCAAAATTGTTATTTCATCAAACCTTTCTGTGCGTTATAAAATATCATAACCGGCCCTAACAATCCCCAATTTTCATGTATGTATCAACATTTAAAAAATAAAAGAACTTGCTGTTAATTATTACTGATTACACCAAAAGTTACCTACCATTTACAAACTAAACTGAAAATAAAGTTAATAAATTATGGTATTAAAAGATTATGGACTTAACCAGTACATTTGTTTCTTTAAATCGTCATCCATCAATCACAATATTTTTTCCTACTATTCCAAATGTATAATAAATTATACCTATTTCCTATCAGTAAGTGAAAATTAATTAACTTAAAGAACTATATACATAGGTATATCTTTCTAACCAAATTTAAAGTAGGTGTTACCTAGGTACTACATCATGATAATGCTTACGAACATATCAATCAAAAAATCTTCAAGGCCTTGATAAAAATATCATGTTTCTGTTAAAATAATCTTCAGGCTTAAAGATAATCCAGTGTTTAGGCTTAGAATATTTAGGTAGGTTAAAATGTCAATCAAAAAAGTAACAACGATGACAGGGTCCACCGCACAGGTTTATGAAAGGGTTTTGAGTTTCATTCATTCATGTGGTATGTATGATCCTAGGTATGTCGTGGAAATTACTAAACAACCAATCCTACACAGACAATATTAGTATCAACTCCATACGACACACCGCCGTGGCTTTCACGAACTGACGTAACTGCTTTCAGCAGGCTTCAGATTACCAGTGATAAAAAAATGGTAGAGACTACGGCTCTTCTTCATTATTTTAATAGACAATTTAATAAATATTCAAAATAATTAAGTAGAGTTGTGACTAGGCTCACAGCTTTTTTATCGCTGCCAAGCCGTACCCAAAGGGTAAATAAAAACTGTTAACTGAAATGACAAAAAATAATAGATTATGATATAGTTACTCGTTTTTTTCATTCAAGTTAGTCTATCCCCAAGAGAAAAATTTGATATCAGTTAGGCATTTATCAAATAATGATTCCGACATAAGAACAGAAGAGTTACATACGTATCTTAATGATAAGTAAGACCAAACCATTTTTCTAGCCATTAAAAACTATCATTTTTAGACTAATTTATTCATGACCTAGCCTAAGAATAGAAAACTACCTCTTATTTTGCATTCACGTTACGGATTACATCATGAAATGCCCCCAAAACTGAAAAAATAACATTCAGCCTTGTGGTGGTAATATTAGATCATTTGTTTTTGAATAGGTTGCGAGTTGTATGACAAATTATCGGCCATATTTTAACTAATTCATTTAAGCTGTTACTGCGTATTTTGTACGAAATTTCAACAATCTTGTTCAACCTTTATAGTACCTAGTTCATCTATAGTTCTAGTACAATTGTAGATAATTGGTAGAAATTTGTTATGTACGAATTTCAAAATAACTTGATAGCTAATGCCTACGACTAGATGTAAGGCAATAGAGTATGACAAGTACCCAATATCAATAAAGGTTTTTACTCCCGCAGGTATGATTTGAACCTGCGACTATAGCGACAACGCCTCTTCTATCTGGGCTACCACCGCTAAGTCGTTGTTTACGTAATTATGCAAGTGTATCTTGGCGAATAACGCGTGGCTCCATCTACAGGTCAGTTTAGAAAAAGTTTTTATTTGGCACGTTGTCCACACAACCCAGAAAATCGGCGTGTGTGGAGAGCCTTTCAACGAAACGATGGCTAGACCCGACACGCTGTTTGTTACATACAGCAAGAAGAAAACCCATGTGGAAAATACGAAAAGAGCTGATAGACACATTCGTGGGTAAGCTTGACGCAAGTTGCCGATGATACAGACAAGATAGACAGCTGATAATTTGATAAATGTTTATCTATCACTAATACCATCTCTTCATACAAGTGTAGTA